ATATATATATATATATATATATATGAGATAATAACTCATACACTGCTAGTGTAAATTTTTTTTTACACCGGCAACCAATCATATCTTTTAATAGTGTCATGTTATTTGCTTATTTAATCAAATAATAATAAAATAAAATAATTTAAAAGATATGATTGATTGCCAGCGTAAAAAGCTTTACACTGACAGTGTATGGATGATTATCTCTCTCTCTCTATATATATATAAGAAGGATTCATTTATTATAGGAATAAATCTACCTATACTAATTCTATTCATTAATTTATATTTTATATCAAATTTTAATAATTTAATTATTAAATTTAAAATTTTTAATATATAGATCAACTTTATAAAATTTTAAAATTATTTATTATTTTATTTTATTAATTCAAATTAATGTATAAAATGATTTTATAATAATCTATCAATTTGAATTAATGAAACGATGTATTAAATAATTTTTATTTTTTTAAAAAATTTACAGACTTGATTTATATATTAAATTTTTTAAATTCGATTGTTAAAATTTGATGTAAAACATAAGTTATTAGACGAAATAAGTTTAGATAAACTTATTCTGAAGTGAATGGATCCCATATATATATATATAATTATTAAAATTAAAAATTTTAATATATAAACTAAATCTATAAATTTTTAAAAATTTAAAAATTATTTAATATTTTATTTTATTAATCCAAATTAATGAATAACATAATTATGTCATTTGTTAGATTTGAGAAAGGAAGAATAGAAAATCTTAATTATTCCGAGGATAGAGCTCACAGGTTTGAATGTGTCACCGACAACTAAAAAGTATACTGAAAAATTAAATAATAGAAATTTTATATCACTTTCCAGCAATAAGGACAGAGTAAACCGACTCAAATACAATTAGGTGGGGTTTGTTGGAACACCCACTGAATAGGAAAGAATTTCACAAAAAGATAGGAACAGACAACAAATTTTTTTTATTAATTTTTTTAAAAAAATAATATTTTAAAAATAATCTATTTGTGAAATAATAAAAATCTGTAACCCACGGTTTTAAAATAACAATACCAGTACTGTCAAACAAACACTTAGCATATAAAATCTGTATGAATACAAATTTTGAAAGTTTTTTTAACCGAAAATAACTCTTTAATTTCGGTATAAAAAAAAATCTAATGGTGTTCTAATAAAAAAAAAGGGTATTCACTTAAACGTGCCAAATCCAATGGGAATATAACAGATATATACACCTCCTTTTTTCTATAAGTACATCTCCTTTTAAAAAAAATAATTAAAATTTTAAAATATTCTTAATTTTTTGTTTTAAAATTTTTAATTTTACATCCACAACATTTAATTTAGTACTCTTTTTTTTACATCTTTCTTTCTTTTTTCAATTTTTACATGCACCCCCTTATTTTTCCTTCACCCCACCTATTTTGGTAACATGTAAAAATTGAAAGAGAAAAAAAAAAAGTATGTAAATAAGAAGAAGAAAGTAGCAAATTGAAAGTTGAAAGTATAAAATTAAATTTTTTTAAAAAAATTAATATTTTATATATTTTTTTTTAAAAGAAGGAGGTGTACTTATTAAAAAGGAGGTGTATATATCATGAGCCAACAGATTTTGGTGAAATGCACGTAACAGCAACACGGCCCACCTGAATAGAATTGGGCACAGTGGGCCAACTCAAACCTAAAAACGTCACTCTAGTGTAGGCGGGTAAGAAGGGAAGGCACATGTATTACCTTAATCAGATGGCTAGTGCACCTCAAGATTTTCCATTTTACCATACTCAAACATTGCAAACCACATTCACCTCCCCTCAAATTCTCCACGCTTCGTTTTTATTTTTTGGTAGGCAAAATATTACAGAGTAGACGCTTCATTCTTTTAATGTTTGAAAATGTACACAAACCTTGCACGTTTCATAACTTAATTTGACAAGCCATCAAATATTTGAATATTTTCCAATATACTGCTTCATATAGTATCTTTCAATGATTTACTCGTACAAACATTATAACACGTGAAAAATGTGGGACACAATTGAGATGCTATAAACTGTTTTCCTATGAAAAATGTCATGACAACAACTCTACCTTCCTTACAAGTTACAATTACATAGAAGGCGGGAAAAATCAATGGTAAAACCACTAGAAATTGAAATGAACCAATTAGAAATCACTAGCTTACTTCACCTCTTAATACAGCTTTTGACAAAAAAATATACATAAATTCCTCAAAATAAGCTTATACAAAACAAGCAACTATTGTTTGTCAGTATTTGTCAATCGTTCCTGTAGCTGAATACAGAGTTCCGATATTCGGGTCAGCAACTTACGCTGTTGGTCTATGGAATTTAATGAATGAGTATTTATTAACTTGATAGGATTATCAAGCACCTGTTGAAGTTGACAACAGAGCTGCAATGCTTCTGGGTCATTTGTGCAAGTCTCAGAAATAAGATGCAGCAATTTCAAGGTATGATCTCGGGACAAAGATGGACATGGAACTCGAGGAACTAGAAAGGGATGCTGGAGAAGCTGAGGAATTCTCCACCTTTCATTGCGATCCCATGCTAGACACCTTTTCATAAGATCCACAAGCCACGGATTTGAAACTGGCTCATACGTAATTTCATGATTTGGATCAGTTATAACTTTGAATTTGGCCCAAAATGTCTTGTAATCTGAAAAGGGTGTTCTCCCATATACCATTTGATAAAGAATGCAGCCAAGGGACCAGATATCTGATGACCGACCACATTTTATGATGTTTCCACTCGCATCACTCTCATTGCACATAAATGCTTCTGGTGACATGTAACTTAGAGTGCCAACCTACAATAGTTGAAAGGAAACTAGATAAAAATTTAACATTTTCTGATTTAATTGTCCTGTTAAAGCTTAGCAAAATAAAGATCACCTATGCACATGACTTTAAGATGTTTTAGAGTCTGAAGACTATCAGGCCAAATTTCAGTTGGTCCAGTCCAACTAAATATTGGGCCTTGGGATTGGAAAACATATAACAGGAGAAATAAGAAGGGACAGAATGGGAATTAAAGAGGGGACTTTGTTGTGGTAGAGCAATAATTATGTAATGCCTGACATAGTGGGAGAGGGGAGAGAAAAATGTGGATAAAGGCGTGAAACTTAGTAGGAGCATTTGCTCTGGGTATTGCAGAATTTATTCTGTAGTATATTCTTCTCCATTAATAATATATTTCATATCTTTTTTCCATCTTGGTCTCTGACAAATACAGTCTAGGAATTAAATAACAGTTGGTATGTACCTCACTAGTATACACTGATAACAAATTAACAATGCAAGAGATGCTTCAGTCAGGAATTGCTGTACTTTCCAAATTTGGATAATAAATTCAGTAACATTATGAAAATGGTAGCGCAGAGCCACAACCACAAAGTGTAAAGACATGCATTTCAATTATATTACCTCCGGTCCTTTTTAAAAGAAAAGATATAAAAAGGACAGGAGGAAATAGTATATGGTAAAAGTGAACCAAACAAGAGAAAAGAGATAGAAATGTAGTAGCCAATAGCGAGCTATGGCAGATTAGTGGAGCAGTTTTCAATAGCAAACTTAATAGCACCTTTTTGCATGCTATAGCAGCTCTATCATGATTTAGGTTACAAAATCCCCTTCTAACCACTTTAATGAAGTTGATTAGGGATTTTGGGTAAAATTTAAGATTTCTTACCGATGCATTTAGGATAAACAGAACTTTATTATTGATTGAAAATCTAAGAAGTATTACAAGATAAACCCTTGTAATCCCAGAGCAATAGATCCTCAGTGAAACGGTTTCCTCTTTGCCCAAGTCAGAGTATACACTCTAGACTCCAAAATTGAAAATACAAACTCAGCATGCCTTCCCTTCTCCCCTCCCTCCCCTATATAACAGACTATCCTCTTTTTTTCCTCTCCATAACTAACTCTTCCCTCCTTTACTATTTCCCACCCAAGGTGATTCTAAGAGGACCTTGTACATTTGGGCTTTGTGGTCGAGAACCTATCACTCACCCATTTTCTAATGCATTTTTTGCTTCAAAAACATAAAGGATTTGAAACCTTTCTTCCTTGATCATTTCACAAAAAGATACCTCTGTTTTGACATTTGTTTTCTTTTTTCATAAATTCCACCATAATCTTTCATTTTTTGACTTCATTAATCTTTACAATGATCTTATTGCCCCTAGATTGATGGTGTAGAACAAATTATTTTGTATTACTATATACAAGATAACAGCCATCCCGATTCCCACTATGAACCAGTACTACTACCTGAGATTGATAACTATGGACAGAAGTATGCAATACCTGTGAATCCCGTTGGATGTTTGTTGTATCGCTCATTATTGCTTTGGCTATTCCAAAATCAATCAGTTTTAAGGAACCTTTGACAAGGAGGAAGTTAGCTGGCTTCAGGTCAGAATGCACAATACGTTCTTCGTGAATTGTGTTGACAGCTTGAAGAATTTGCTGAAGGTATCAACAAAACAGTTCAGATAATTTACTTGGGCAAAGTTACAATACTATTCCATTCCATCCAATAAATAAAGAAAATGAAGTGAAAATACAGCCATGATAATCATTTAAAAATAAAATAAAATATACTGGTAGAGTGCAAGAGAAAATTATTTGATTATTTAAAATATGATTATCAACAAAACACTGAATAATTAAGCTTTTTGTTTGATACAAGATAAAAGATGTTGCTTTAATATTGTATGTGAAACATGAAAACCAGACCAAACTAGACACCAGAACACAATAAAAGTCCAAAAGGAAGTGTTTCTTGCATCCTTTTGGATAACTCAAATACAAGATCTTTTAAGTTTTATCCACTGAATGGACAAGGCAAAAAAGTAATTATGCACATGCAGGTTCAGACAAATGATAAAACATTTTCAAGGTTACATTGCAGACATAAACCTGCCAATAAAATCGAAGCCAGTTCTCATCTATGGTCTGGTTGCTTCCATCAAGTTCCTTCCACTTTTGAGACAACATATGAGCCAAATCGATTTCCCCATATTCAAGCACCATGTATATATATCCATCATCCCTGACTCTACCATCCTTATTACTGAAGGAGCCATTTATGACTCCCTCAAACAAAGCCTTGTCAGTCACCTAATTTACAAGAGTAGGTAAAAATGAATAACACTAGAACACAAATAAAGTAATGCTTACACATTTAAATCAAATCCATCACAAATACAAAACCAAGAAAATCATCACAAGTAAAATAGATTATAGACAAATCGACCAAATATTTGTATCCCTCTTGTTTCTAAATGCAGACGACCTCTCAAAGACAACTGACTAAATGTACGTTCAGAAACACACACAAATAGAATTAGAACTTAATACAAAGATAAATGAATAAAATGCACAAGCCATAATGTTGTAATTATTTTTTTCTAAAATGCACAAAGGTTCTAACCCTAGAGGCCAATTGATCAGCATTGAAAGCCCAATGGAAGACTGTGCGCATGGTTGGCTAAATAATTTGCAGCTGCTCCCTAACTTCGCACAGAAGTGAATGAAAGTAATTGCACACGAGAGATCCTTAAAATATTTTTTACCCTGTGAATGGTATATCAAATGTACCCTAGGTTAATCTCAAGTTAGTTTAGCATTTCCAGCTGCCTAGAGCAGCTGGGTCTAACCGTTTTGGTTCCTTGTAATGAAAGCTTTAGATAATTAATAGTAACAAAATCACTTTCTCTCTCTCTCTAAATCTTTTTATCTTAACTCTGATAATAGCATAATTGAGAAAACATTTTAAGCAACATTAGGTCAGACATAGCAAATATATAAGAGGAACCTAGGTAAAACCCGTGTCATCAATGTGGAACTGAGATAACAATTAACTTAAGACAGAAAGGCATTATTTCCATACTTAATTTAGAGATGAAACAAAAAGAGAGACAGACAGAGAGAGAGAGAGAGAGAGACATGAAAACCAAGACATCCATTATCATTATCCAAAATAATTACCATGAAATTTGGCAGTAGACTTGAACAATTTAGATGAGAAAAAGAGGGCAAATGCAAAGTTATAACATGGAATCTGATTATAGAATGCTAATTTTTGAACACCTAAACATCCAAACGCCTAACCGACACCCATTTTTCTCTCCGTCTCTCTCTTTTGACACATGACATCACATCACCAATCATATAAATAACTTATCTCTTCTCTCTTCCTATTTCTCTCTTGGTGTCTACATCAAGAGATGTGTCCATAGACCTTTTTCCTGTATTATATACACACACTGCTTTCTGACCTGCATAATTCATTCAACCTATATGGAGGGATACTTAGAAAAATCATAGAACCTCCAGCTCCAGGCATTGGGAATGTAAAAGTTTCTAAATAATCAAATCATCTATAAGACCAGAGGAGAACCCCAAACCTATTGAAAAAGACCAGATGAGGGGTGTGGGAGGGACATTAAAAAATATACTTAATTCACTACAATACTACATGTTGGGATTAGAGAAATATAAAACAGAAATATTTAAAAGTAAGAACTGCTGTGTGTCGTATTTATAACAGGAATAAGTTGAGAGTACCTCATAATCTATAAGCTGGATAATATTATTCTTTCCTTTCAGCCTATTTAGATACTCGATCTCTTGACAAAAACCATATGCAGTGGCATAATCACGGCCCTTTAGTTTTATCTTTTTAAGTGCATAGATTGTACAATCTGACGAAATCACTTTGTGTACCTCACTGCTTCCACCACTACCTATCTTGCCAAGCCTTTGATAAAGCTTGCCATTGACTTTGAAAAACAAGTCAGGATCATAGGTCTTCTTTCGAGTGCCTGATGATCCTTTACTACTTGCATTTTTATCTTGTTTTGCCAACTTAGAAGATTCCAACTTCACATCTGATGATGAAATCGGAGCCTGAGGCTGTATGTTGGTAACAGCTGCAGACTCTTCCCCTTTACTTAACATGTCATCACAACAAGAAGTATATTTTGAAATACTAGTTTCCTTTAACATACATCCTTGCTGATCCTTATATGGGTTACTCTGCTTAAATGTCAACTCTGCATCAACTAGTGAAGTACAAGCTTGAACTGCACTTGCCACCTGATCAATTGACATTCTATTGGTGTCTTTCAGAGAATTATTTGGTGATTTAACAGCCCCTGGAGCTATAGGGTGAGGATTAACACTCAGGTTTCCATAAGGTTCTGCAGCCACATGTGAGCCACTATCTATACAGGAATGAGAACAATGAGTTATAGAATTTAACATAGGTGCTGAAGTTGAATGGACCGATGTAGTTGTAGGACATGAGGGTCCCACTATGGAGGAATGTGTAGCTGGTTGGCTCAAAAAGTTTTTGAATTGATGCAGATGATCCTGAGTAACTATTGTTCTCTTTGGAAGCAAAGAACTCTTGCCTCCCTCGGATATCAAACTAGTTTCTGACTCTACCTGCTGCACGTTTTGGTTCTTCATGTGTTGATTGAATTCAATTGATGCCTCATCTGCCAATGCAAGTGAACCCATATGAGATGATATGTTCTCCAACTCAGTGGCTTTTACAACATTGACCCCTGCATGTTAAAAGAAGAAAAGAAAATATATGGCAGGGCATAGTGACTGCTTTGGGATATGCAGCACAACATCAGCAGTTATTTTCAAAAGGGAGCCAATCACACAAGAATAATTTTTTTTAAAAAATCTATAACCTTAGAAGAGTTTTTGATGTAACGATCTTAACAAAAAAAGTTTAGGTTCGACCCAAAACCCTAGTTGGTAATTATTGTTAATTTGAAATTAAAGAATTAGAATTGTTATAACTATAAAAAAAGTTTAAAAAAAATGTGTGGGGCGCTTATTTTATCCGCATTGTACATAAAACTACTACATTAAGAATATGCTTGAATACAAACTTGGAAGAACTTTTGAGAGCTTCTATATTGTAAAAAGCTTTTTTATTTTCAATAGATAAGTTCTCCAAAGCTTAAATATCCCACTGAGTTAGACCTACGATGTTGTGATCCTCATATTTTTCTAGACAGATGTCATGGAAGTAAGGAAGTTAATGCACAAGTCTTTGGACCTGTCTGGATAAATTTCTTCATAAACACTTTTACAAGGAAAATTGAAATAAGTTTCTTCACAAGTTAAAACTAACTTTTACATAAGCTAAAAATAAGATATTGGAAAAACTAATTGGAGATAACTTCTACAAATTAGTATGTGCATAAGCTAATTTTAGCCTATGAAAAAACTTATTTCATTTTTTCTTCTTATTTTTTCCAACTAAAAGTGTTTATGAAGAAGTTTAGCAAGGAGGCCATTTATCCTAAAAAGCTATCCTCATATTTTCCTGATAAGCTTTGGTACTTGGGATAAGGCTATTACTGTAGTTATTGTCATACATAAAACTAAATAAGATAGTCTTTATCTTAATAAGGAGAGTTTGAGGGAGGGAAAAACAAAATGTGCACAAAAATGGTAATGAAGGTTTGCAGTCAAGTCCTAAAGAGTTGCATAGCGTTGGAATTGAATTAGGACATCAAAGCATGCAAAAGGTGACAAAATTACCATGTGTCCGCGCAGTTGAAAACTGAACCTTCTTGTGCGCAGCTGCTAGGGGTTGAGATTCCGGCGGCGGGAAGGCTTCGCCGGAGGAAGTGTCGGAAATGGAAGGTGGTCCGCTGGCGAGGGTCCGGTGAGGCAGCATGGAGCGCTTAGGGCGGACGCTGTGCGGTTGCGGTGCGCCGAGAGGGCGGTGGCGTTTGAGTGCGGCTTGGACTTGTTTGAGGAATTCCTGAGAGGAAGAGGAAGTGAGGTTAGGGTTCCCATCCATGGAAATCTCGCATTTCTAATAACCCAAAATCCCACTCTCCTCTTTCATCTCTATGCTCCTCCCATTTCCCATTCCACTGAATCATTCAGTTTGAAATTGCAACAGTTTCCTCTCCTTTACCGCTTCATTCTCATGGGCTTTGCCTTGTCTAATGGGTTTATTTTTTGGTTCATGGGCTTGTTATTGGGCAACTAACTATTCACACCTCCTTTTTTTTTTTTTTTTCTCTTTCTCTTCATGCCTCACATTTCTGGTTGGGAAGTTAATATTTAAAGCCCCAACCGTTTCAAAAATAATTGATTTGACGAAAATAATTCTGATACGACACAATAAAAATAAAATAAAATATCGTTATATATTTAGAACACTTACACAACAACTGGATTTGGAACCTAAACGAAACCGATTTTTGTTGTGCAAGAAGGGTATCATTTGATATATACAACGGAAACAAATTTTATATTGTATATGTAGGTTTCGATCACAACAAAGACTTGTTTTTATTGTGTATACATTACTCTTTTATAATATTAGTGGGTTGAGATATTTATGTCCCAACATTTTATTTAATAAAAATATTTAAAAATTATATTTATTAGATCAATTAATATTATGTTTAATTTTTAAATTTTAAATTCTAATGTATATATATATATATATATATATATATATTAAATTAGGTTATTGTCTTTATAAATATTATAAATAAAATCTAATTTTTATTGTGTATCAAAATCTAAATGTATAATGTATTTTTTTTATCTCAATGTGACAAAACTAGTAATTGACAGGGAATAATTAATTAAAAATTCTTATATGAACAAGAAAGAGTAACAGTGTATTTGAATTACAGTTGAACTTTAATAAACGTATGTTCAATTTAAAGCAACTCCCCCTTTACTTCAACATTTTTTGCTTTGGGAAGTGTAAAATGTCATTTATGCTGTGTAAAACATATTCTCAAACATATACTAAGTAAAGAAAGGTTACGAGCAACTTTAATGGGAGTTGCTTGTCCCATGAAATAACTCAAGTCCCGGTTTCTTATCATTGAAGGACTTTGATGTGGCAACACGAGTTACTTGAAGAAGAGAGAGAGTTGCTTCCTCCCGTTCCTTACCAGATTTCAAGCAAATTTTATTGAACATATTTGAGAATGTTTCAGAAATAATAATGATGAAAATTAATTTCATATAATGTTTATGTATTTATTATTGCTTTATTTTATTTTTAATATCTACTTATTGTGTATTTTTTCTCGTAATTTATTTTCTTTCATTGTAGTACAATTATCTTTTTTAATAAAAATTTAAATTTGGTTCATAAATGATTAGAAAAAAATTTTAAAAGTTGAATTTCTTAAAATTTTTTATCATTGGAGTAAATTTGTGTTTGAGTTGCTTAATGCTGACATGGCACACTAAGAACCACTTTTTTCATTTTTCAACGCATGAAGCAACTCAAATGAGTTGCTTTCATTGGAGATGTCCTGATGGAGACGAGGAAAAAAGTGTGAGAAGATAACACGGGAAGAGACATTTATGTAAGCAGTAATTTAAGATTTTCAATTTATTTTTTAAAGAATTAGTTGAATAGTAAATTTGGGATAAATAGTAATGTCGTTCTAGTTAACCTCAAGTGTGTGGTTCAGCGGTAGGGGTTGATCACGCTTAAACAAGGTCAGTGGTTCGAATCCTGTCTTGTGTATGCAGCCGCGTTAAATCTTGGAGCCATGGGATCAGCTATCCTACCCTTTGAGGTGCCTCCAACGTAGCGAGGAGATTAGTCACCGCTATCAACAGTGAATACTCTAGGAATGAACCAAAAAAAAATGTCGTTCTAGTTATGTTAAGAGATATTTCGCTGTTTTTTTTTTTTCACATCTGCCAATTTGATGAAAACAATTTTTTTTATACCATACTTGCATTTATTTAACTTTTATTTATGTAATGCAAATACAATATCACACACAGAAAGTACCAAATATTTTAGCATATGTTTAACTTTTATTTAAGATGAATGCTATATATTTTGAAATATTCTTCCGATTTATCCTCCAAATCGGTTAATAAGTTATGTATGTGGAAAACTTCAGATAAAATATTTTTTTAATTTTAATATTTTGAAACTTTATACCTTCGAAAGATTTTTCGGTTGGTAAGTTTTGGAGGAAGAATCACTTCTCTTTATTTAATTAAAAGGAACAATACTGCATTCCTTTATAAATTTAGTAAATGGTCTTGGATGTTGTTGATTCGAACCATTATAACTATCATAATACTTACTATCACTATATGACATGATAATTTTAGTTATTTTTTTAGTTGCTTTCTAATTTCAATTTTTTATAATTTTTCAACACATTTGACAATTTTGTTTGGGATCAGCTATCCTACCCTTTGAGGTGCCTCCAACGTAGCGAGGAGATTAGTCACCGCTATCAACAGTGAATACTCTAGGAATGAACCAAAAAAAAATGTCGTTCTAGTTATGTTAAGAGATATTTCGCTGTTTTTTTTTTTTCACATCTGCCAATTTGATGAAAACAATTTTTTTTATACCATACTTGCATTTATTTAACTTTTATTTATGTAATGCAAATACAATATCACACACAGAAAGTACCAAATATTTTAGCATATGTTTAACTTTTATTTAAGATGAATGCTATATATTTTGAAATATTCTTCCGATTTATCCTCCAAATCGGTTAATAAGTTATGTATGTGGAAAACTTCAGATAAAATATTTTTTTAATTTTAATATTTTGAAACTTTATACCTTCGAAAGATTTTTCGGTTGGTAAGTTTTGGAGGAAGAATCACTTCTCTTTATTTAATTAAAAGGAACAATACTGCATTCCTTTATAAATTTAGTAAATGGTCTTGGATGTTGTTGATTCGAACCATTATAACTATCATAATACTTACTATCACTATATGACATGATAATTTTAGTTATTTTTTTAGTTGCTTTCTAATTTCAATTTTTTATAATTTTTCAACACATTTGACAATTTTGTTTATTTTTTTTATGAATGAGATAAATATAGTATGTTTCTATGAATATTATAAAATATTATTGACTAATTTAACCACATATAAGGAATGACCCACAAATAGTTAGATGTATAATTAAGTTTTACGATATTTAAAGCCCTATGAACATCAAATTTTTTGTTATTATTTGTTTCACCTTTATATCAAAATTTATAGAATTTAAAGAACCTAAAATTTTGTTTAACACAAGTCTTCCCTGTTTTCAATTTGAAAATGTGACTTGGTGCATCTTTGAAATATCATTTGCATTGATGCAAAATAGATTTCTTCTTTCCACAGCACAAAGGCAAGAAGTAACAATTTGTTACTATTGCATTCAACAGTCGTTTAAAGACTTTTGATGATAAATCAAACATTGTTAATCTCTTGTATCATTACACAACTTATTTAGACCTTTCATTTCTCTTGCATGACTAGATAATATATGCTGCATTCCTTAAATTATTTTGTACATTTTCAAAAGGGTCTATTATAATCACCCTTTTTTTCTTTTCTTTTCTTTTCTTTTTTTTTAATCAAAGAAATCATTCATTAAAAATACCCAATAGCACTATTATTGGTGTAATTAGTTAAGATGTTGTAATCAAATTATTCAAATAATTGTAATTAATATCTTATCATGTCTTTTGGATATTTATCTATATCTTTTTGGACATTTATCCTTTATTTGTGTATATATATATTCATTGTATTGAAAATATTTGAAATAAGAAAACTATATTTTATTTTATTCTCTATATAGTATCATATTAGTTTATAGCTTTACAACTGTTTGTCGATCCACCCATAGCTCCCCTAATTATCATTTTTCTTGTAAAACTCACCACCGCATACACTATTCTCATTTAACTCAGTTCTAACAAACACTGCACTTAGCATACTTGAATAACTCATCTTTACAAGCCTATGATCTTTATGGGTAAGTCACTAGCAGCACACCTTGTCCTTCTCCAACTATCAGTGAAGGAGATGCGACCACTACAACCTTGCCTATACCCATTGCAAATGTTAGGATTACTATGTGTTCCTCGCTCTTTTTGGTTCTTATGGCCTTGATGCACAATTTTTTATGACTTCAACCATTTCTTCTACTGCTACATGGACAAGGTTAAACAAACACTATGTGAATAGGTCTCGCACTCATGTAATGTCTCTAAAAGAGCACCTTGCATTTGTCACCACAGACACCTCTAGTGTCAATGATTTGTGTTCAATCTTCCTCTTATCAGTCATTTTGTTGATGACCTTGATCTTATCATTACTGCTCTCAATGGTCTTGGACCATTGTTTCGCGAGTTCACGACCTCAATTCGCACTAGAGACACTTTCTTATTGTTTGATGAACTTTTTGACAGATTAGTAGATTTTGAAACTTTTATCCAGTAATAAACCTCTTGAAACTATTTTCTCTAGTGTATGGGGTCCTACCTCAATTGAGTCAAACACAAAATTACATGTTTTTTGTTGTCTTTATTTTCCATGGCTTGTCCCTTATACCAATAATAAGCTTCAATCAAAATCCCAGCCATGGGTCTTTGATGGATACAACAATACACAAAATGCTATCTTTGTTTTCATCCACCCTCACAAAAAACTTATACATCCCACCATGTTTAGTTTGTAGAAAACATGTTTCCTTACTTCACCAAAATCGTCCCTACCAACCCAAATTTTCCTATGTCAAATTCTATTACTCTTGATATACAAAATCTACACCAATTACTGCCACCTAATCTTTCATTAAACCATTAAATCTCACCTATCCCAATAACCCTTCCACCATTAAATAACTAAATCTCACCTATCCCAATAATCTCTCCACCAATAAATAATCAAATCTCATCTATCCCTATAATCTCGCCACCATTAAATCATCAAATCTCACATATCTTAATAATCCATCTAGCATTAAATAATTAAATCCCACCATCACCAGTTCCTCAAACCAATCCTTCTAATTCAAATCAAATACCATCATCTTCAACCAACATACAAACTAATCCAAATTTAAACTCCCCACTCCCATTACCACATATTTATGATGTGTCTCAAGATTGCAACTTGCACATTTTCTCTTCCAACACTATTTCCTTGATGAAGAACCACAACCACAATCCACCCACCCTATGGTCACACACTCCAAAAATGAAATATTTAAATCAAAACAATTATATACAACAAACAAATTCCTTATACTAGAAGCAGTTAGCCTTCATGCCTTACTCAAACCTTTAAAGTTCCTGAATGGAAATTTGTTATGTTTGAAGAATTCACAACACTCATGGCAAATAGGACTTGGACCTTAGTCCTAAAACAACATCACTTCAATATCATTAGCAATAAATGGGTATACTATATCAAGTGTAACACAGATGACATTGTTGCTTGTTACAAAGCTCGCTTAGTGGCCAAAGGTTTTTACCAACGTTAAGGTATTGATTATAATGACACATGAGCCCAGTCATCAAGCCACAAACAATAAAGTTGGTGATTTGTGTGGCTCTTTCAAAAAATTGGCTCTTGAGCCAAATGGATGTCAACAACGCCTTTCTCCATGGTACCATTGAGGGGGATATATACATGTTTCCACCTCTTGGTTTCATCCACCCTCAGTTCCTTGATCATGTCCGCAAGCTTCATAAAACGCGCTACAACCTCAAATAAAGCCCCTCAAGTTTGGTTTCATGCATTAAAACAATTTTTGTTGAGTATTGGCTTTACAAATTCAAAGTTTGACATATTATTATTCATTTACAATAGTTGTTAGGTCACAACATACTTCCTTATCTATGTTGGTGATCTCTTACTTACAAGTAACAATTTGCAATTTTTCACTTCTTTCAAGTACTCCCTTGTAAACAAATACTCTTTAAAAGACATTAGCTCACTTAGTCATTTTCTCGACATTGAGTCGCATGGCCTCTTCCTCACACAACACCATTACATCTACGACATTCTACAAAAATTCAATATGTAAGATGTTAAACCAATTTCAACACCTATGTCTACCTCGAGTGATCTTAATGTTTATGGTGACACACCTTCATGCAACACACAAGAGTATTGTCACCTCATTGGCTTACTTTAATACCTTGACTCGACCTAATGTTGCATATTCTGTTTCCAAACTCTCATAATATATGTTGTTCTAAAGGTAGTTCACATGCAGGTTATCAAACACTTTCTCCGTTACCTCAAAGGCACTTTGGATTATGGTCTTCACCTCTCACATTCCTTTGACTTTTGCTTATGGGCATTTACAACTCAAATTGGGGTGGAGACTCATTTGACATGAAATCAAGTGCAACCTACATCATCTACCTTGGTCCCAATGCTATCTCTTGGTCTTGCAAAAAGCATAAAATAATTGCCAAAGCATCCGTGGAGATAGGATATCGTACCATTGGATCATCTACAACTGAAATTCTTTGGATCAAGGAACTTCAACTTCCTATTATTGGTGAGCCATCATCTATTTTGACAACATTGGAGCCACATATCTTTGTGCCAACCCGGTGTTCTACTCATGTATGGAGTATATTTCCATTGATTATCACTTTGTACGTGGCTTAATTACCAAGAAAAAACTCATAATGTCTCATATTCCTTTTAGCCATCAACTAGCGGACTTGCTCACCAAACCCCTTGGCACTACACGACATAAATGATTAATGTTTAAGATTGATGTTGCCTCCTCCACCACCATCTTACGAGGACGTGTTGATGTAATTAATTAAGATATTGTGATTGAATTATTCAAGTGATTATAATTAATATCTAATCATATCTTTTGGATATTTATGCTTTATTCATGTATATAAATATTTGAGATAAGAAAACTTGATTTTATTTTATTCACTATTGCTACAAGAAAAATGGATAGACAAGCTTTGAAACATTTATTAAAGCCTAACAACCCGGTAGGAAAAATTGTGTTGATTCCTTCCCTCATTGTGAATCACGTGGAGATCAAATGTGGCTCCAAGAGATGGATGGACCACGATTAATTCAGAAGGGGTTGCAAATTGGAACAACTAGAATCTTGTTCAGGGACACGTTAGGAGTAATGGGTCATTGTTTCTCCTAGAGTCCATACACTTGGAAGATTCTGTTGCTGTGGTGGCTGTAATGTGGAAGGTCTCAAACTAGCTTGGGTGAGGGGATTTGGTAGAGTGGTTCTGAGAAGTAAACTGTAATTTCTGAATTTTTAAGTGTTGATTTGTTCATTACTTTAGTGCTGACTGTTTAAAATCATTATCTTCAGTATTTGATATTAGTGAAAAACATGAGGTGAAAATGACATAAATGACCTTTTTTCTTTATAAAGTCGAGTTTTTTAAAAAAATAAAACTTGAGCATTTATTCCATTCTGGATAGTCATGAACCAAATATTTGTGTCCGAGAATGCAGTGGCAAATCATGTGCACCATACCTTAGGTCATGGGTTCTGACCCGAGTTTAACAGTGTCGGTAGAACTAGAACCCTTTCCGATATATATATAAGTAATATAGTAGTGGCAGATTTTGCGTGCTATCATCATGAGTTCCAATCTCCTACGTTTGGCTTTATGTAATTTCTTCCTGTATTGGGCCTTTAGGTTCGTCTATTAACATATTCAAGAAAGAAAGAAAAATATCATTCATTAATGAGTAAACAATCATTCTAATTAATTTCTGAAACAAAAAAAGGTCTAATTAATCTTTAAAATATCATATAAACCTTTAAATTTTACTACTTACTGTCTTTTTGATATGTAAATATATAATCATTTTAATCACTTTTTTTTTTTTTTAAAATTTTGAAATAATGTAACTGTAAATTTACACTTTCATGAATATATTTGACATTTTCTTAGTCTCATGAAATATAATAAAAATACATTCCAAATTCAGAGACCAAAATAACCATTTGCTGGTTCATTAATCTTTTCCTATACTCAACTATCTCCCTTCCTGTAACTTTAACTAGTTTCTTTCTACACTGTTTTACGAGTAAATATCATTAGCTATTGTGATGGCATTCCAGACTGAATTGCATATTATCATCATAACCTGTTTTCCATGATCCAAAGATAATTAAGAGCTCAGATGATGTAAATGATATAAAAGAAAAGAATATACAAAAGACATTAAATTACATTTAGAAAATGAGGAAGGGAGGATAACAAAGCCTACTGACTCGACATGGGTCAAACAAAAATGCTCACTGACTCAACAGATTACAATCTTTCTTCAAGCCTAAATTTTTTTATACAAGAAACAAAGAATGTAAATGTCAGCTCAAAAAACATTGATCAGAAAGGGGGAAAAAATTCTAACTCTGTTTGAGTTTGCTATATCCTTTGGTAGAACACATTGGTGCGGTGTTGTCTAACCTTTAAATTGGAGGCTAGAAACTGTCCCGCTATGTAATATAAGTAATATGCATACAAAATCTTCATACAGTCGCAGCTACCAATCATAGAGTTGAAATCTCTCCTGTTATCAGAACAGGAATAGCCACTCCTTGCCAAACGAGAAAGCAACTTTAAAATGCTGCAGTATTGGAAGTAGAACCAGTGCCATGGAATTGGTAATGATATCAATCTGATGACCGTGCAGAGTTGTTGGAACAAATGAAAAATATCATCCACTTAAGATTTTGTTCCGTTATAATTATCCAAAATGTCAAGATGGTGGTCAATTTGATTGGCAAGAGACTGTTGCAGGCACCTGCATTCTGGTAAGGGGTATGTGTAGACAGAAGTTTTTCTGTTTATTTTTCTAACTCTAGGAACCATGATTCCCTTGCGGTCACTTTCACTGAGCATGTCTTCCATCTGATCCTTGAAAGCTTTCCAACTGCAAAATGAATACACAAATATATTGAAATCATCTAGTGTTTTCCAGGGATTGTCCTCACATCAAAATCCAGGTGACACCTATACTTACTTAAATGTAACATTCAGACGAGGATGGACAACTACAGTAACCAACCTATTGGCAGTTGATTTATAATGTAATCATACAAATCAAAGTTAAAGTAAACTGCAAAACACGGCACTAGTGGCCTAGCTAGCTAGCATTTGAATTTAGTTAAATTATCTGCTTTTTAGTTTTATTTTGTACGTATCTTAAGGTTCATGACTTGAAGTTCAAATCTAGGGGAAACTCCAATCAATTAACACATGTTATCGCAAAGAACTGACCGAGACTAATATGTGAACCTAGAAAAAAGTAACTACTATCACTTTTATTTCCTATCAAGGCAACATATGATACATGGGACCAAATTAAATATTCCCTAAAATCTTTTGAAACGTTTTTAATGTAGTATATAGTAGCTTTAAATGGAGGATGAGTGAGAAAGAGAATATACCTAATACTCACGTCATCCAAAAGAACAACAAGCTTGCGCTTATCTGGGATAATGGTCTTGGCATGGCCATCATAAAGGAATCTTCTATGGCCCATCAAAAAATGAGGAAAGTTACCTCCCTGAGTTGTCACAAAAACCTCACTAATCAAGCATACTGTGTAGTCCAGTGCAGCCAATTGGGAGGAATAACCCTAGAAAAAGATGAAACTAGGCATTAGCACATATTGGAAACTCCACAAATATAACAACTTACACTCTATGAAAGAGTATAGTTAAATTAAACTTGAACATAAGTTTTTTTTTTTTTAACCTCACAAAAGTTGCAGCAAAGATGTACTTGCAACCAGCCATCAAGACATGTATTCTTGAGGTCGATGTACAAGCTATAAAACCAAAATATAAAAGTGTAGCAATAGAAGTTAAAACTGTGGATCATTTTATCAAATGGGTAAACTTTAGCTCAGTTCCAACCCAAATCCATGAACATAAACATTTGAGAATTTTAATGAATGGTTGTTATTAGTCTGTCACAGAGTCCAATTCATTAGCTATAAAAATTTCTTACTAGATGGTCATATAGATGATACATCTTATATTACTGGATACCAATTATTCTTTTTAATTTCTTAAATGTATATAGTTTTTAATCATTGTAAGGATAAAAGTTATAAATATTGCTGCATAAAATGAGAATAAATTGATGCTGCAGCAGAGCTACAAGCTACAAACAACATATGTCTTCCAAAATCAAGTTATCATGCCTCAGTCTACAGGCTGCTATGAGAAAGAAATCAAAATAAAAGTGAAGAGCTCTGAAGCCACTCTGAAGCTGTCCAGATTCATACTATAGTATGAATCGTGACATTGGTTATTGTTTTAGTTTTCCAATCACCGAGGATATTTACCATAAAAGGAGCAAGCTCATCTGGTGTTGCAAGAGACTCCTTAGTATAAAGATTGGGAAACATCTTTAACAGAGGAGCCAAATATCTCTCTGCATGATATATTTTCCCAGAAGCTAAGTATATTGAAGTACTGTTATCAAATCCCATGCCACGTAGCATCATACCAACCTACATAGTTGAGGAAAACAATATGCAACACACATTAGTCTCTTCCATGCGATATCAACTTTCACACAATTTCAAATTTCGTACATTAGTTTGATTTTCATCTCATCACGCCACTCTGTCACTTAAATTAATTAAAATAAAAGCACACAAATATAGTGGCCAAAATCTAGTATCAAGAATGGGTATTGGGTACCACTAAGAAAAATATTGATGGCATCTCATTTAGAAGTCAATAACATTAGCACGAGATAGACCAGATTTAAATTAAGAAAAGAAAAAAAAAATCATAATTCAAGATCTGAATTGATAAAGCATTAAAAAGTAAGAAAATCACTTCTAGAGGAGTTAGCGGGCATTTTCCTTCTACTCGATTGAGTTCAGGTAAAATGACACGATCTTTTCTTTTAAATTTTCCCCTCCAGCTTTTTTCTCGGACTGAATCCATTTCCAACTTTTCTTCCTGTCCTCCATCATATACACAACAGGAGAATGCTACCATATCCTGCATGTTGAGAATATTTAGTCAGACATTAGATACAGTTGATTCAATCTTGTACCCCTCCACCACGGTCACATATATTGATACCAACTACTGAACTACCAGTTCCAATATGATCAAGCGAGCATCAGTACCTCCTCAAAACGAAGATGCACGGCAATGTATTTTCCATCTGTCCTTGAACTCTTCTCAATCATTCGGTAAACTAGTTTCTTAGCTAGTGCAGATATTGAAGAGGAAAACTTCAATGCTTTATAGTTAGTAAGACATCTTAGAAATTGAATATGTGGAGGGACACTCATTGCCAAACGGTTGGCAAATGGAGCTATTCGAATTACCCTGCATAAGAAAATACCATTCATTACATCAAATTGTTTGCATAAAAAATCAAATTGTGTCAAATGCCAAATTTGAATTCACTTCACAGCTCAGTTTTACCCAAAAACTTATTTTTGAAAAAATTAAATAATAATCCGACATTTTCATTTAAAAATAATATTAAGAAAAAAAAGATGAATAAAAAAGAGGAGAAAGTGACTCAATACCTACCCTTCCTTTTGCAAGATAGGAGAAACAACTCCAAGGTAATAACTGACTGGAGACCAAGCTTGAACTCGGATGTTAGTGATATTACTCATATTGTAATTATGCCGCTCCATTAGTGCCTCAGGCAGCTCTTTAACCACCTTCACATAACCATCAAGGGTGGATATAAAATGATCTTCATCGTATATATCCCCAAATTCACTGTAAGAGAAATAGTATTATTTAAATAGAGGTAATTGCAGAAATAAATAAGGAATATAGAAGTCTAAAAAGGGTCATAACGGTCATTGTATTGCATATTTAAATATTTAACTAGTTTTTGAATCGTTTATTGCATATGGAAAACATGCATACCCAACGAGGGCTACTTTAATTTCATCACTGCTAGTTGGTAATAAAATTTAATCAAGTATCGCTTGACCAACCATATCATAAAGATAAGACATAGTACCAAAAAAGTTACAATCACTAATTATTGTGGCTCAACAAGTCCTAGGTTGCATAGGCTATGTAATAGGTTCGATATTTGTAGCAGACAAAGCAATGCAGCTGCCGCCACAACAGCTGATCTGGCTGTGATTGTGGGCTGCAACTACTGCAACGCAGCGACAACCACAACCAGAACTTAGACCTTGGTTAAGACCTACGTTCTAAGGTTCAAAGCTAAAGATAGCAAGCCAGTCAGTCACCTTGGATCTTTCCACACATTGTGGAATTCAAATTGAGGTATAACTAGTATTGCATTCAGGAGTCCAGCCACAGCCACCGCATTGCAAATCTAACAATTTCAGAAACACAACAGTCAAAACACTATAATTTTTCAATCAAAAACACAACTGCGTAAAACCAGAGAAAGGAAAGCTTTTGTCACACCGCAGAGCGTTGCTGATTAAGACCCCCATTGGCCTCCACAATCAAAAAACCATTCAGCCCAGGCGACACTGAAATTAAGAAAAACCACCGCATTAACTTCCCACACAAACTTTACTTTTACGCCAAACTCCCCATTCGCATTAATATCGCACATACCAAAATGTTCACGATGCAAAGCCGTCAAATTCGGACAAGGCTTCTGCTCTCTCAACTTCCTTTTGTATTTCCACACAGAAGCCAACTGCAAAAAGACAATAAAAAATAATTAAAAAATAAATAAAAATCAGCTCTCTGTAAAAGGCAATGATTCTCGTAGTTATTTTTTTTTAGCCATCATCAGAGACCCTCTTCTGGGCACCGTTTTACACTAAATACAGACACCACCTCGATAGATATTAGGGAATATTTATGTCCTTATATACATCACATAATTAAGATTAAACAAATTCATATAGGTTGATTCGCGTGGTCGTCAATAATAAAAAGGAATATAATATAATATAAAACAAAATAACGTTGGAGACAGTATCAAATATTAAATGTGGCCATTTTTGTGTGAGTAGGGGACCAAATTGTATAGGAACGACGGTGAAACAGAGCAACAGGATGTGAGAGAGTAACCCATTAAGTTTGTTGATTACAGTAATTCTCTTATAAAAAAAAACAGGTTAACTAGCGAGGTAAATTTGGCAAATTAAAAAAAAAAAAAGGAAAAAAAAGAAAAGAAAAGTTGAGGAGGTGGTTGAAGACCTGGATGGCAGAGGAATTATCGGCTTGGATATGGTGGCAGAGGTTGTGAAAGATCTGGTGGGTGCGGTAGCGGGAACCGGGAAGAGGAGTGTGGCCAATGAGGGAGGAGAAGGGCCCCACACACATCAGCAACCCCGAGATGTACACCACCGGCAGCAGGAAGAAGTACCGGAGGCTCCGCCGCGCCATCATGCTCGCCACCAGCCGCCGACTCTCCGCCGACTCTTTCGCCGGCCGCATCCGCCTCCGGCACCGCGAAATGCCGGAGTGACGCCGCGGCGACGGCGGAGGACTCGGAGAGCTGCTGCTCCCGGCTCCGACCACGGCGGTCTCGGTCGGCGCGGCGTTTCCGGCGGCTTTGGATTTCATTAGAGTGAGAATTGCGGAGCGTGAGGGAAGGGTTTGGAATGAGAGTGAGTGGTTTTGTTTGTTTTGTGGTGTTTAGCAGAGAGAGAGAGAATGAGAGTGCAGAGAAGATGGAAAATTAAGGGAAGCGGAAGTGCGGCATGGTGTAGTGAGCAGTGTAAAGCTTCTTGGCTAGCTGCTATTCCCAGAAATAGAATCTAATTAGCTAATTTTAGAAGATTCATAATGACATGGTTTTAAACTATTTTTATTTTACTTTTTCTTAACGGTTTTTTTTTTCTTTTTTTCTTTTTTGCCTTTTAATTCATCTTATGTCTCTCCTCATTTCAGAGGCTAGAAAATAAAATCCATTTATTTTATGCCAACTTCATAACATGGATTTAAAATAAAAATTCTTATATTTACACACGAAAAATAATTATTATTGTAATTGCATTGTACATAGATAAACACAAAATTATTAGCTATAAAAGTGAAAAAAATAATAATTAAAAGGATTCAAGATAATTAGTTAGATTTTTCAATGATTAGTCAACTTTTTTATATTAATAACATAACTACTAAAAGAATACACGCTTATTAAATTTGTAAGAAATTAACATTAATTTAAATAAATAAGATTTTGAATTTAAATTTTATCATATATATATATACGAGGAGGGTTCAAACGACACCGGTGTAACTTTTACTAAGTGTTACACCACTCAATAATTTTATATTAATTTTGAATTTTGAAAATCTAACCGTTAGATTGAAAGTTCATATCTCTTAGATCATATATATCAAATTTTATATTAATCTAAGATGATTTGATACTTCATTCTCATAAAAAAAAATTGACGTAATATATACATTTTAAAATATACTAAAATATGAACACTTTGATTACCTTCAAGTTGTTGTTCAATTTTAACAAAATTTGACATATATGATCTAAGAGATATGAACTTTCCATCTAACGATTGGATTTTTAAAATTCACATTTAATATAAAATTATTGAACGGTGTAACACTTAGTAAAAGTTACACCGGTGTCGTTTGAACCCTCCTAATGACTTATATTAGAATATTATAAATAAATTTATTACATATTATTAATATTATATTGTCTCTATTATTATTATTATTAAAATTTTGACATTATCATTATTATTATCATTATCATCAGTTATTGTCAATGTCATATAAATTTAATATGTGATATCATATTAATTTTTTATAATTTATTTTAAAATATAAAAATTTAATATAAAAATAAAAATAATAAATTAAAAGGATGAAAAGTTAAAAAAAATACTTAAAAAAATACTTGTGTTGAAGAATAATATTTAAAAATGTTTTTTTTTGGTAGAAAGCTAACAAAATTCATTCAATATAACTATTTTTATTTATGTATTCAGAAGAGTTTTAAACAAATTTGAACGTTATTAAAAAATAAAAGCAAAAAAAAAACATTTCCCCCTTATTTTTAATTATTATTATTATTATTTTATATACTTTTTTTGACAGCAACGATCATTTACTTGAGTACTTCTTCTATTAATTAATAATATTAAATTTTATTGTGTTTTTTATCTAAATGATAAATTTTCTTAAACTTAATATTAAAAATATAAATGAGTCATTAAAAATAAAACCACTATTAACTATGAAATTTAATTTTAAAAAAATATGTTACATTAAAAAACTAATTATTAAATAAAATAAATTAGTTAAAAATTAATTAAAAATAAATGAAATGAGTTATCATAATTTTTTTTTATATATATTCAATGTATATAGAAAAGACTATAAACCACTAGGATCAATTGAAGTATTATATATATTAATTTGAGGATTGGGACTCTCACAATTATGTAATTTAAAAAACTAAAAAATCAAAATTAGGTAATTGAAAAACGTGCAAGCCTTAAACTTAAACTTATCATTCACGTGGGAATGATCGACCAAGACACATTTTAAAAACAAGTTAAACTAACATCCAATAAAAATATTCTTAAAAATAATATATTTATTAAGTATATTTAGAGTTTAGACCTCGATCACTGTTACTACAGAGACATCGTTTTATATAAAATTTCATAAAATATTAGAGAGGTATATCATTACTGGAGTTTCATTGTTTCTATGATTCTTCAACAAAACAAAACTTGCTGTTGAAGAAATAAAACTTTGGTATACAATTGGCAAAGAATAGGACCACTTGAGAATGTGTGCAGTAAGTAAGGAATAAAAGAATGGATTAGTTTGTTTTTCGATGTTGGATTTAGATGGAATAAACTAGAATGGGTATTTAGTGGTGTTCTTTATTAAGGTAAAATATGAATAAAAGTGGAGATTGTTTGATTATGATTGATAGCATGGGTATTATTGTATGCATAGAAAAGTTGGTAGGAACGTTCCATATCCAAACATTCATTGTTTTCGCAATTGTAATCTTGCAAAGTCAGCGGATGCGGACAACCCTCAAGCACCCACCCAACAAGTTAAGAATGAATTCCCATTATAAATGTTGTAAAATTAAGCTAGATCAAAACTTATACATCAGGGGATCCATTTGAGAATATTTATAAGACTTGCTAATAAACTACTTCGTAAATATAAAAGGACATAAAATATATATTTTCTATAATGAGAGTAAAATAATAACAGAATGAACAAAATAGTTTTTAAATTAAAAAAAGCCAAAAATGATTTCAAATAAGTTAATAGGGTAAATAAATAGAAAGATTTAAAAAAAAATAAGAACTTATAATCTGCAAGAAACTCCAATGTAACTTGTAACGACCCGCCTAGCCGTCACACAACAAAACATCACCATACAGGAATAGAGTATGCATATAAAAGAGTAAATATATATATACATATGTCTAGCTTGGAGCTCAACAAGTCAGTATCCAATACTAACAAAATAGCTACAACAAGTAGCCCATTCACAAAAAGCCAGCTTCTGCTACCACCTGTAGCCCTACTACTACACTCCAGCCTATCCTTGTTCTGCTTCCATACACAGTATGATCATTGCAGTCCAACCCACACGAAAACAGGCAAGGGTAAGCTAGTGAAAAGAAATCAACATATAGTATATTTACAAACAACTTTCAACTCAACAACAACATCATCATTCTCAACAGATTTAACATACAACATACAGCTCAATCACAGCTACACAGCACACTACACATATACAGCTCATATGAATCATCACATCAACACAACAACAGCGTATGCATCGTCACGCATTTCAACTCGGAGATCTCCTACAACATGGGTGAGCAGTTTAAGTGGCTAGGTCCTACCGAACCGACGCAAAAAACCTTTTTGGGCTTGCTAGGTAAACAAAAAATTTGGATGTCAATCCATAGCACGATAACGATTTCTCTGACTTTGCCACTTAAACAAGGAAGTATAGTACTATGTCAAGATAGAACAGCTGGGTTTAGGCCTACCACGACATTAGCTAGCTCAACTAAGCCATCTATGGGATTAGCCTATCGACTATCCTCCAAATACTACAACCCTCCGATACTCGGTTAGGAACTAAGTTCCCAACTTCGTACTTTACTCAAATTGGTCGCTTATAATCGGTATAACTCGACCTGACCCCTATACCGTGGTCGCTTTGTACACGTGTGCCTCGACCTTGACCACACACGGGACCAACTAAGTACTAGAGGAGAACAACATAATGACCACTCCAAGGGACAACTTCCCAAGGAGGGTTTTCAACAAATTGGGCTCTCTGAGCATCACAACTTTCTCAATCCTCACAATGGGATGAGCAACTTCGAAAACATCTCCTCTAGTCCTAGTGATCAACAGCTCATCATTCAACAACACAACTCATCTCAACATCATTAACAGCTTAAACAACATACAACACAGCTCAACTTAACAGTTGTTAATGCTTAAATAACATACAACACAACTCAACTTAACAGCATTAACAACTTAAACAACATACAGCACAGCTCAACTTAACAACATTAATAGCTTAAACAACATTATCAACTTAAACAACATATAACACAGCTCAACTTAACAGCATTAACATCATATACAAAATTCAACATTTTCAGAGTTATAGAGTAAAACCCGTCCACGCTCGGCACAATAAGATTTGCACCCGGCCTGGACCCAACCCGAGAGCTCTAAAGCTCTTACACACCCGACATATTATCATTACGCCCGGCGCAATAAGAGGTAGAGACTTCCAGAAGTCTCCCCAAGCCCGGCGTATCAAACTCGCGCTCGGCGCAAATAAGGCAGAGACCTCACCAAGGTCTCACGCCCGGCGCGCTCATTCTACGCCCGGCACCACCCTAGGCAGAGACCCCCATGGAGTCTCGATGCCCGGCGAGATCGAATCACGCCCGGCGCCATTGCAGTAACTCAACTTTTGAGCCACTATCTGATATCACGCCCAACGCAGTTCTCCCCACGCCCGGCGTGAGTCATCCAGGGACTTCCATTCCCAACCTCGCCCGGCGCAACCAACCTAGCACCCGACGTGCTTGGACAATGAAGTTCTCTGATGGACACACGCTCGGCGCCAAGAACTGCGCTCGACGCAATTTCAAACAGCAACCTTCACAACTTCGAAAATTTCAAACAAAACCTACAAATCAGCTAGCTCAAGCACATGCAATCCATGAAATGAACTACATTTATATCATACAACTCGAAAACAAGCTTTATTTCAACATGCAACCACCAAACACTTCAAAATCACCATTTTCCCCAATTTTCCCGATACCCCGAAAATGAATAACTCCTCAATCCAACCATTCATCTTCTGAAATCAAACATCACATGAGTTCCTAAACTCACTTACACCCAATCAGCATGAAATCTAGCTTCCTTTACCTCGGAGAAGAAGAATCCGAGCTAAGAGGAGAAGAAGAAGAGAAGTGGAAAAAGGGAGAAGAAATCGGTGCTCTCAGCTAGCTCCTGACCCTCTACTCAGCACTTATAATCACCAAGTAGCTTGAGAAATTGAGTCTAAGGAAAAAGAGAGTGAGGAGAAATGAGAGTGAAGAGAGAAAGAAAATGAGAGTTTTGTGTTGCAGGTCTTACATAACTTATAAAAATAAACTAAATTTGGATCAACTTTTGTATCATTTTTAGTCAAACTAACTTATAAATCAATTAGATAAACTTATAATCTCTTAAAATGTATGGTCAAATACACTCGTAATAT